CACGTGTCAGCTGTCAGGTTATTGATTGATTTGAAGGTGGATCTTCCTTCCTCATCTGGGAGAAAATGTTCCACCTCACTGAGCCGCTGGCCAATTGAAAAGCTGGTAGCTACCTGTACACAAGATTACCCCCAGGAGTGGTGGCTTCTGCTGGTACTGCGTGCAGTTTCTAATGATGATCATTCTCGAGCTGGATTCGAAGGCAATGGGAATGGGGTCAATTTCCGAGGACCAGGGTGGGGTGGTGCCTCCAATGGATATGAAGGGCCTGTAAATGAGACACACTTTTACCCTGGACTTCTCACTAAAACATGTAATGAAAGTTGCCTGATTGCACATTTGGCACAGGCATCTCCCACGCCAAGGGTTAATCTTCAGGATAAGGAAGCTATTACCTTACCATTAATTAGTCCTTTAAGGATCTGAATTGGTCCACAATAGATCATAGACCCACTATCTTCCTGACACCTGCCCACAGCTAGTAACATTGCATAGGGATGGGCAGGTAGTCTCAGGGAAATACACCCATGGCATGGCATGGCACACAAACCTCAGCCCCTCCCACCCAACTGTTCACCAACTCACCCAAACAGGCTATAAAATTCAGATCACTACTTTTTTTGTTACCAAATTAAAATTCCAATATCTGTAACAGTGGCATTTGAACCCATGCTCCCTGGATATTGCTAGTTCAGTGATATTAGCATAATGCTATCCTCTATCAGTGGTGGTTCAGTATATTTTTAAATTTCTTTTATATCTAGAAGTGCTCTAATATACAACTGAACATTTCCTTTTCACACCCATCAACAAACCATCATTCCTCCAAAGCACGTGGTGAATTCAGTATTTAAAACCACCAGAACGAGTTCTTCTGATGCAGTGGTAGTGTCCCTATCTCTGAGCCAGGAGGCCTGAGTTAAAGTCCAATCTGCTCCAGAGATGTATAATAACATCTCTGAAGAGATTGTTTAGAAAATTTCTAAACCACCAAATAAAACCAGCTTCATCTGGAAGTCTTTGGAGGAAGAGAGGAGGGGCAGTGACAGTTGTAGCATCGGCAAAGGAGGAATGAAAGACTGTGTTAAATGTCACTAAGCCTGAATAAATATTAACATGACCAATTATTTCTCATCAGCTTGGTCTCAATGTAATGGTGATACTGACAGGAGTTTACTCAAATATCTCTCTTGGGCAATAATGTTATTGCTAGTTTATAAACTCCACAACCTATTCAGATCCTCCTGTTGTTAGTGCAAAAATGTGCCATTTTTTGAATGATACATGGCACAACTCGATGCACTCTCCGTTAATCTTGGCATATTAGCTTCAAGTTACAATGATCTTTGTCAAACTGTAACAACTTCTACAGAACAGTCAGACTCCCTATTTCACTCTTAAATGCACAGCTTCAGTTGTATATCTCAGCAACACTGAACTTAGCGAGAATCCACACCTGCAGTTATGTGCCAAGACAGGTTGCCCGAACACTGTCTCCATATTCCCACAGCAACAGTTTTCCTGACTTCTGACAGAAACTAGATGTCTGAAGTCAATGCCTTTCTCCATTCTCTCTTGACATATTGATTTCCTTAAATGCAGTGATATTTATCATTATATCAAGTGCAATGAATCATTGTCCTTCTGTCCCTACAGGCGCTGGCCTTCATTTGAAGTGTAATTTAATTCTCATTTTTCTTTAAGAAGGAAGATAAATCATTTTGGCTTTTTCCATTCCTTTCCAACAATTTCCTAATTTCAATAGCATCAGTAAAACAGCTTTCAAATAAAATCAAATAATCCTTTCATCATTTTGCACTTACCTGTATCCTGAAATAAGGCAGTATATATTCCCTGCCCAAAATACAACATGGCAGTACCATTTTTAGTGCAAGCAGACAGGAAATAGATATGCAACTCTAGGTAAAAAATGGGAAATGGAGTGAGTAGATCAATGGAACATACAAGTGTTCAAAGTAGCGAAGAGGGAGAGAAGGAGAAAGGGTGAGCAAGATGGAAGGAGGTACAGAGAAATTGAGTGGGGGGGGAGAAGGTAAAGGAAGAACAGGGAAGAGCAAGAAGGAGAGAGGGCAGAAGAGAGAGACAGTAAGTGAGACAGCAAGGGAAAGTGAGAGAGAAGTGGGGAGAACAGAAGGTAGAGAGACAGAGAGAAGGAGTCAGATGAACAGGAAGTGAGAATGCGAGAGACAGAGAGAGAGAGAAAGAAAGAGAGGGAGACAGAGAAAAAAAGGGGGAGGAGGACAAGGATAAAGAGAACTAATTTGGGATCTTGTTTACGAGCAGAGTTACTTGCTGTTCTGCAGAGAAAGCCAGTGCCCTTAAAAACAAAGGACTGACTTGCCAGATATGTGTTTTCAACGTCTCAGTCAAATACAGTCATTGTTAGTGTATTCCAAATGTAGCTTGATTAGATCTTGGTCAGAAATTCTTTCCTCAGCCATGGTCCCATTGTCCAAGGGATGCTGTCTAACTGTTTGTTGCAACCCAATTCAGGAAGCAGGTGAGTGTGCCTGGATGCTTTGTTATGTGCAGGACATGTCCCCATCAATCTCTTTCAAGCAAATTTTCACTGCCGCATATATGTAAAGATACATAACAGTCAATACGAATGTGGTACTAGTTGAGTGACAATGGCAACTACAATGAAATGACAGACATGCATTGCACATGAAATCTGATAGAGATACCTGTCACCGATTCACCTGTGAGACAGTCCTCTCTGCAACGGCAACTTTACAATGCCATTTCACAGCCTCAGAAGCAGCAAGTATTGAGGAGACATTGGTACATACCATGGCAGTGCACAGCAGATCATTCATCCTCTTGTAGCATTGGACCCATCTTCTCTTAAGCTGCCCTCATGACTACAATTTTCAACCACCTCTGCCCAGGCTATTTCTGTCACAGAATGGTCTCTTGTTGCTATCTCGAGAGAAAAGAACTTCCCTTCTTTCCTGAACAGCCTCCAGTACAACCTCTCAGGTGGCATCGTTCAGGTATGTTGCCACATTTTGCCTGATCTCTGATATCACCAGGATGGTCAGATCATTCAGCCTCTTGTGACAGGGAAACCAGGTTTTCCTGAGCTACCCATGGGCATTGATCTTAGCCATCATCTCTGTCCAGACTGTCTTTATTAGTCCAGATGCCACCCACTTGGAATATCAATGAACATCTTGTTGAATGATAAAATAGGATCAAAGTGCTAACTAGCCTACTAGTCTTCCAACTTTCTATGTTGCTACATCCAACATAACACAGCGCCTTCATTAAAAATGTTAAAATTTAAATTGTTCCTAAATTCAATGTTACACAAATATATGAAAATATTGGAGAGAAAAGAAAATCTATTCCATCTAGCCACTCCCATACAGTCATGGTGCCAAATGCATCATGACTAAAAGATTAAAAGATAAAGACTTCTGCCTAAATGATGCATAACCTCTTGGGAAGATGAAAAATAAGAATTTTTAAAAAGTCAACTGGGGAATTAGATTGAAATTATTCTCCAGTTCCCATTGGTGACTGAAATTCGACAAGTACTTGACTCCTGTCGGGTGTGACCTCAGAAGCCACAAATCTGCTCAGCTCTCTTTGTAGATACTCAGTTTACAAACCACTAACTTGTTCTGATGTCAGCAGTACTAGCCTTTGGGAGAAAAATGAATTTCCTAACATTTTAATGATTTGTCCTTCTGTAATTCCTAATCATGATCCTGGTCTTTCCTAACTGAAGTAATTTCCAACCTAAATACATGCAAATTCTTTTATTCTTTCTAGAAAATTGAACCACTCTTTGAAGGGTGCAAATGTGCTTGTTTCAGTTGATCTGCATAGCTAAGACACCTTAAATTAGTATTGCATCTCTTGGTCCTTTTCTGAAAGTTGCTCAAATCCACAATTTCACCTATATATAAAAATTCCCCAGATAATCTCACAACATAACTGGTCATCTACCGAGGAATTGCTAAACAGTATTTTAACTCACAACCAATATCAGACTACAATCAAGAACAGAGTACTTTATACTACAGACAAACTCAATTCACTGTTTGGGATATTCATCTCACTTTTTACTTCACAGAAGCATGCATTTCATTTTCATCAGCTATCCTTTGGTTTTGTTCTTTCATAGGATTCTGTCTGCATTTTGTGACCAGCTGGTTCTTTGTTCCCTAACATTCCTACAGAGACATCTGAATGGATTTGAGTTCATCACATAAACTGCTCAGCAAAGCTTTCACAGCAGGACTTCAATGTTATCCTCAAGAAGGGGTAATAAAATAGTACTTTAATGAACATGCTAATCATGGTCACACAGTATTAGACAATGACAAGGAATGCTGCTGTGTTCTTGAACAGTATTATGAGCTGTTTAACTTTAAGATAATGAAATGATGCTCAGTTCATTGCCCAGAATGCTACTCTCCACTTTAGTCAACAGTACCTCTTTGTTTGATAGTCGAACAGACAATTCAGGGCTTGCTGTGGATCAAATATTCTCAAAGGACCACAGCACAATAGAGTTGAGAAAGCACTTACAGCAATTTTATCTTTATTTCACATCTCATGTGGAGAAGTAAAAACTGATGATTAGGCTGCAAGTTCACGCAAGAATAATTCATTAGAAAATTCCAAATTAGGCACAATTTCATCAAAATATTTGCTTCTTGTCCTTAAAGAGAAGCCCATATTTTGATATTCTAACTGAGAGGTAATTATCTGCTGGGGTGTGCCCTCATAATAACTCTCATACCAATGCAATGTGCTGTTTGTGTAATAATACAGCGGAAGATGTTGATACTAATCATTTCCTATACACTTATCTTTGAGTACTGTAAACTCCAAAATCTACTCTGAAACATGGCATATCAAACAGACAGTAAATTTTACTGCTTACCTTCACAGCTGCAAATGAAAGACAAACTTAAGATTGCCCTGCACTGCCGTGTTAAGTTATTACACTGATGAAAACATACCACGTAACACTGTAAGCCTGGTGGTGGCACTTATTTCTCCAACACTGTTGGAGGCTACACATTCATAAATAGCCTCATCTCGTGGCGTTCGTAATGGCTGTATTCTGAGAACAGATCCAGATCCATCATCGAACTCGATCACCTGTAGAGATAAACAGCAGCATTGTTGCTAGGTTTTAAGAATTTTGCACATGTCCATAATGCAGGCAATTCAAGAGAATACTGTTGATCATATTATTTTCATTCCAGCTGCCTGTCCTTCTATGTTGCTTTGATCAATGAGACCAAAGACTTGAGCTGCAGTTGACTGGATTTGCTATGCAATATATTAAACATAGCTAGTTACAGGCACAGACAATCTAAGTTAATACTATTTTACTAAAACTTAAATCATTTAATTTTGACAGTACTTGCCTGATGGCCCACTTAAAACATTATAGTTCAAACGAACTGCTTAATTTCAAATGAACCTGCTTCCACTTGTTGAAAAACGGCACCATCAAATGTCACAGATACTTTTGTGCTATTATTACATGGACAACATTAACAGTCACTTGGGCTTTGTCTACAGCAAATTATTCCCTGAAGGTGAAATTGTGAAATGGTACGAATGACCCGACCTTCCAGCTCATCATTGCAATGTGGATGGTAGTGGTGATGTAATTCAAGCTAAGACGGAAGAACAGAAACCATGAAGCACTTCATTCTCCATGCCCCTATTACCTACCCAACTGTGTCCCAAGTTGTGGTAGTGGTGGTGGGGTGGGGGTTCTGATCAGATTTGGACTGAGTTGGCTGTCCTATTGGTCAGGAGGACAGTATGTGGATGGGTGATTCACTTGGGGAGGAGGGAGAATCCAACAATTACAGAAGGCAGTAACCAAATGTTGGGATTGAATATACTAGTGGATAAAAATGGTACAAACTCTTACAACGTTTATCTTCTGCTTTATTACTGTAGGCACTGAATTATGCAAATAAGCAGATTTCTGACTTATAAAAAGTCTGATTGAGGAATATCTTACATTGTATAACCAGCTGTTACATTCCAGGTTAACACAGGCTGCAAATAAAAGCAGAAATAATCTGTTCTCTGATGAAAAAGGCTGGGTTTTAAAAAACTGTGTGTGAAGAATTCATTGACTCCGTTCTAAAGTACTGATGACGGTTCTCTTGTACCTCACGTTCATTACAAATTTGCAACTTTATCATGAGGCTTTGGTAATTATCTTGCTGTGTTTCTAATTTGTTCCTCTCTTCTGAAGGTACTGACCTTCACTTCAGGACAGTTCTGAAACAGCTAATGCCGTGGTAGCTGGTAATCCCACAGCAGCTCAAATGTTGACAAACTAACCACAACAGCTATCACTGCATACAAGAGGTATGTGCCTACTTGCATATTCATCTGACCTTAAATTATTCATTGCTGACTTCATAAGCTGTTGTTGTCACATTTGATAACTTTGTTCTGTATGAACAGGGCAGTATGAACATTGCAGGTTGTTTTAAAAGAAGAACATTACTGCTTCTTATTGGTGATGGAAACAACATTCCAACTATTGGGGGAGAGAATAGGGGGTGAAGAAGGCAACTTCTAACTGGATGGTTGAAACAATGGAAGAATAACATTGGGTAGCTTTTATCTGCCATTATCAACCTAATCTCATCGAGCTAAAAAAAGTTAGCTGTGCAATTAACGACAAGGTTGTAAATAAATCAAAATTCTTTTATATTAGGGGGCTCAGCAGTTGTTTATATAGCTGACACATGTGAGATAAAGATTGGAAGTCAGGCAAGGGAGCATTTTTTATCTCATTAGGCGCAACTATACTAAACTGTGAACCCCTGTAAATCAGATTACCATGGTGTTACTACTACCAATGACTGGGCAACACAAAGATATCAGTTCAGTAATGTGTGGATTTGAAATCGATGGTGAGATTAGTCTGAGAAAAGATAAGTTGCTACACTGGTGTAGTGGGCCTCATCTTTCTGTTGAGGTTATCCTTTCTACATAATAGGTCAGACAATCCCACAAGGAAGATCTTCCATTAAGAGATTTCGCATTCTCAAGTCATGTGACTTATTCTACTCATGTCATATATTCTCAGTTACTTTCAATCCAAAGAAACTAATAGCATTACAGCTGGAGGCAGAGACTCGAAAGAAAGAGTTATTCCTCACAAACTGGATAAAAATCTAAAATTCTCTGACAGCAACACAAAACATTAACAGGAGGAACAATACTCCTATCCTTTCTAGGTTATCTGCACAAAAAGTGAAAATGGAAAGAAAAGCTTTATGCATCTAAATAGCACAGCCTAAGAAAACTCACAATAACTGGACACATATCCCTGTTTTCAAACTGTATCAAACTTCGGTTGGCACAACAGCAATAATTGAATTTGGAAGAGAATATGATATGAAAACACAAAGGTTTAACAAAACTATAAGTGATTAATGTCACGTTTCTTTATTCAATATCCTTCAGATTTTACTCACAACTCTCCTGAAATGGTGCCATGTTAAAACAGAGATGCACATCTCTCAGTAGCATGCGAATGTTGCTTTCTCTAATTGCAGACAGGTTCAGCTGTGGCTTGGTTGGTTGCACTCTTCACATTGAGTGACAATATCTGGGTTCAAATCCAATTCCAGGATGTCAGCAAAAAACAGAGCAATCAAGATTGATTCTCCTGGGCAGAGCAGAGGGAGTCCTGCATTTGAGGACGTGCCATCCTCCATAAGAAATAGAGCAGAAAAAAGCCATTCAGCTCCTTGGGCCTGGCCCACTATTCAGTAAGATCATACCTCACCTGACTGCAGCCTTAAATCCACTTTTCTGCCTGTCCTGTCCCGCACTGCACCCCCATAACCCTCGACTGCACTGTCATTCAAAAAATTAATTGACCTCGAATATACTCAAGATGTATTTTGGAAAATCAGAGGTTAAATCCAAGGTATAACTGCTAACTACTTGGGTTAATGCAAATAATCCCCTGACACTAATTTCAAACAACAGCAGGTTAGTTACGTGCAGAGTCATTTCTAATAATGCCTCACTTGGCATTTGGTCATTATCACATTGCTGCTTGCAGAAGTTTGTTGTGTGTAGATGGACACTCACACCACCTACATTATCTTGGTGACTATATCATAAAAAGTACTTAATTTGCTGTGAAGTTCTTTGAGATATTCAATAGTCATAAGTTCAATGTAAATGCAACTCTTTCTTTCTAAAAATTCAGTGCATGTGTAATGGGTACATCATATCACTTATGAGAAATGCCACTACAAGTAATGCACTTGAAAATGGCCTGGCAGTGGTCACTGCCCTTGTCCACCAATTTCCTGCTTGGTCATTGAGTTAGCTAGGGTTTTGCTTCCAGAGGGAATCACAAAACTTCAAGCAGGTTTTAATATTACTCCTCTTTTTACAGAATGATAGAAGGACTTTGGCAGATCTACAACAGCATGCTTTGTTACCTGGTGTATGGAAGAAGGTAGAATTCCAGAGGGAAAAAAACATATTTCACATCTCCACATGCCCAAACGTGCTTAAAACCAACAAAATACTTTATATGTAGAGCTATCATTATAATTTTACTGTGAAAAGCAAGGCCTCATCAACACCAATTAAATTTCTGTGTAAAAGGTAAAATCTCCATAGCCCCAGAGGCTGCTGTCTGATTCGAGAGTGACAACTGGTGACGGTTTAGTCTTAGGGTCACCGCACCTCATAACGGGAGAGGTTGTGATGGTGGAACTTATGCTTTTGTCATCCAGCTAATTGAGGTAATGTGTGCTCGTCCACTTGATATGAACTTTCCTGTTGTTTGAACTGCGTCACTGGATCGTTTAACCCTTGAAGAGCAGCCAGATAGGCCTTGGCTTTCTGTCTCACCCAGAATTGGTACCTTTGACATGCAGGACAGTCAGCCAAAGTCATGCCAAAAAAACACTGACCATCTGATTTGGAGGCAAAGTGTCATCAAGTGCCAAGAGAGACAATGGAATAATGATGCTGCTCCAACGTTATGCAAAAATCAGGTAAGTATATTGTGCATATTTCTTCAGTAGCAACTAAAGTCAAACATGGTGTGAACAAGTGGAACACATTGATTATTAGGGTCCTGTGGTACCAGTGGTGATGCTCCTACCCCTGGGCATTAAGTCCAAACTCAAGTCCCATCAGCCCCAGAGGTGTGTCACAACATATCTAAATAATGTGATTAAAAATGTCTAGCATATTCATTAACAACAACAAAAACAGAAGTTGCTGGAAAAGCTCAGTAGGTGTGGCAGCATCTGTGAAGAAAAATCAGAGTTAACACTTCAGGTCCGGTGACCCTTCCTCAGAATTTGCTGCCACACCTACTGAGCTTTTCCAGCAACTTCTGTTTTTGTTCCGGATTTATAGCACCCACAGTTCTTTCGGATTTTATTTAACATGTTCATTATTTAACATTAAGAGTGAAGGAATTAGGTCTGGTTAAAATTGTTTCCCTTATATCCATGCATTGTGAAATTAAAATATTTATCTGACCTCCTCCTAACAAGTGTTTACCCGCAAAAGCAGAATGGTGCACATGCTGAACTGGGAATAGAAAAAACAAAAGTGTTGAGAAATTCAGCAGATCTGGCAGCATCTGTGGAGAGGGAAGGAGAGTTAATGTTTTTAATCCAATATAACGCTTCCAATTCTGAAGAGTCATACCAGACTCAAAATGTGAATGCTGTCTCTCTCCACAGATACTGCTAGACTTACTGAATTTCTCAAGATGTTTTGATTTATTTAAATGTTTTGACTTTCCAATATCAAAGAGTTTGAGTAAGTACATGAGCAAAAGTCATGAATGAGTGCCAAGTATCCAATTAACGGCCTGTCTGAAAAAATAAATCAGGCAGGAAAAAGTCATCAAAAGTCCGACTGTATTTTCTGCTCTGCCCATGTGACCAGACAGCAACAGGGAGCTGGGAGTTGGAAATCCTTCATGGCAAGTTAATGCATGTTCTTGCTTGGACAGGTAGCGCCAGTTAACAAAGTGGAACAGCTGCTGGTAGCAGCTGGAGACTTTTTCTACAGTGAGGTAGGTGGAGAGAGGTATTTGAAACATGCTCCCGATGATAATTGTTGCAGCA